GGCACTGTATAGGTAATGATTATGGGCTATTCCAATGAATGCACAGAGATAATTTCATTTCTGTGAGTAGTGCCATTGACTACAATGGGAGTATTTCCATGTGTAAAGTTAGCCTGGAGCGTAAGCGTGGGCGAGATTGAACTGTGGGAAAGATTGAATATATACTTCACCTCTTGCAAAAAAGCTCCCAGGTAACAGAAATATGAAAGCTTCGCCTAGACCTTATGTTCTGCAAGATCAGTTATGGATTGTCTTGAAAAGTGGGTGTGAAATCTACATATAATGCAGCATTGCAAAGCAAAGAACTGGAAATGTAAGCAAAGAACTAGTTGTTAAGGTAAGGCGTTCTCTTAGAGTTAGGAAAATCTTTCATCTGAGGCTTTCAAAGCACTTTGTGCTTAAGTGAGCGTTACGTATTCTTTTAGAAAGGTACTGTTAAGTATCGTCACATGGAGCAGTGAGGAGATTATGAATGGCTGGTCAAGGATCATGCGATGAAATAATGAGCATTTGCGATTCCTAATACTCTCCTTAACGATGAGGAATTATCTGTCCTAATGCTCAATATTGGCTGTAGGCCACAAGTTGGTCTCTGGCCATGGCCACTGTACAGAAACTTGGTTGGCCGGTTTTGTCTGGTGCCTTGAAGAGTGAGGAAGGTACGACTATTCCTAGAAAATACAAGACTGCACTGGGGAAAAAGGTGATGCTGCCTGTTAATAACTGGACTTTGGTCTTTGGAAATAGAAGCTCTTCTGGAGATTTGGAATAGGACACTGTCTTGCTCTTTTCTTTGGTCACCTACTCCTCTTCCCAAAATCAAGATGCTCTTTGGCCTGGTCTGAAAACTCTCTTTTGCACTGCTGGCAGCACACGTGAGCAAAATTTTCTTTGCCCAACTGCTCTACACCTGGATGTGGACCCAGCAGTATTGGTACAGCAGCACTTCCAATGTCAGTAGCTTACTCCATTCTCTGGACGTGAATGAGATGTCCTTTTAAGCACTTTTACACTACTGTAACTGAATTTTCCTTTGGAAGACCATAATGCATAATCTCTTCCTTTTATAAGCCAGCGGTGAAGATTTTTAAACCCTAATATAATGTTGAGAAGTTTCCAAGATGTGGGAAAACTTTAAGACATTTATTGCTGTGGTGGAGGGGAGGCAGTTTATTGTTGTTGCCCAAAGATTATACTAAGCATGGTATAAAGAGCTAAAGGGAACCCACCTCAGCTGCTCCTGATGGGGCTCCTTCTCCTTACACTCTGTTATACAAGCTTGGGATGGAGTTTCCTGGAGCTGGTCTCTCTGCCCATGAGCAGAGGCTACAGGGACTAGCTTTTACCCCACATAGAAAGCAGCAAAGGGAAGGAAATCTGTGAAGAATTCCTCTGCCAAAAGAAGAAGCAGGAGTTATTTTTCCTTTAAAATCCATGCGGGGCTAGCGTGGGGAGACATCAGCTTGCAAAACGTATTTGTAAAGCCTCTCAGGCCTTGCCTAGAGGACTTTGTTGGGTTAGCTGAATCAGCAAACCTTCTTTGCATTGCTGCGCGTTGCAGTTAAACAAAAGATTTTTGCCTGGGTTAAACGCTGTCAGTCCCTGAACAAAATCCCCTGCGACAGCATACCGATTTTTTTATGCTTGGGCACTTGTGTCAGGGGCACACATCGCTCTGAGGAATGGAGATCTTGCACAGAGGAGGACTTGCAGCTCTGCTGGCAGATCATGAATGTGCAAAGCTGGCTTCTGCATGAGACTCTCCAAAGAGCAGAGGCTTACCGTGCCCAGCCCGGCCCTCTGCCCACCCTGTGGGGCACACTCACTCTGCAGGCTCTGAATAATGCAGACAGCTATTTTTTGGGTGCTCTCCTCTAATGAAAACACTCAGAAATGTCCTGTCCCACATGCCACTAGGTGGCACTTTAGGGACATGGCAGTCACTTGGTTTTATTCATTATGCATGAGCATTAGCACCAGAACGTGTTCTTTTTTTTTTTTTTTCCTTTCTTCCTTCTTTTTTTTTTTAATTTTTTAGGTCAAATATAACTATTTATTTATTTTTACCACCTGCCTGCTCCAGCCAGCCCAGTGGCCCAACCTGAGCCAGCGGGTACCACAGCCCTGCAGCCCAGCAGTTGCCACAGCTGGTTCAGCTGACAGCCACATCACAGCACTCAGCTGGTAAAATACATATCTTGCATCAGGAGGAGCTGTGATACCGAACTGTTGGAAAGTTTAGAAATCTTACCCTTTTTGGCATCAGCACTCTGATTTGCGTTTGTTTCCACCATGAGTTTATCCTTTTTTCCCTATTCAGTTCCCTTCAGTTTAAAAAAGTATTCCCCTGCAATAAGACCATTAAAAAATAAAATAAAATGGGTGGATTCTGCAAAACTTTGGGGTTTTTTTTGTCCCCCTTCCCTCAAGTCCTTTATCTTACTGTGATTTCAGTTTTCCTGCTTATTTGCAGTTGACTAGCAGTCTGTTTAGTTACTTCTACACTGTTTGAACACATTGGATCTCGAAGAGCTGCATTTTATCTATATATAAAGAAATTGAGTAGCAGTCTGTTTAGTTCTACACTGAACACATCGGTTCTTGAAGAGCTGCATTTTATCTATATATAAAGAATTATCTTACTGTGATTTCAGTTTTCCTGCTTATTTGCAATTGAGTAGCAGTCTGTTTAGTTCTACACTGAACACATCGGTTCTTGAAGAGCTGCATTTTATCTATATATAAAGAACATGGGGTTGGTCACCTTTCTTTTTCATTCTGTGCTCTTGCTTTTGACACAGGGTTTAAAGTAGACTCCAATAAAAGTGTGAGCACCAGAAACTGCCTGCCTGGCCTGGTTAGGGTGTACCTAGTGCTCCCTGTCCAAGAAAGGTGATGAAGAGCTGGCTCTTGTGTACCTCCCTCTGCCATTGCTCAGTGTTGTGCAGCAAAGCTATAGTTTATAATATACATATTACGTGGCTCTCTGAAAGGCTGTGTTTACTTTTGCTGTCCTGAAACGAATGATTTGTCAAAGTGATGTGATTCGGTCCCAAATTTATCTTACGGCCTGACTGGGTGTTTGAACTTATCCCAGAATCATTCATGAAGGCTTCATGGACATGGCCAGGCTACTGTTACCATTGCTTAGAGCCTTCATTTCTTTCAAATTTATAAGAAGTGGTTGTAAAAATCAGGGAGGTTAGGGGCTATTCAGCTTGCTGATAAAGAAATGCTCTGTTATGTTAAATGCACTTTTAAGGGTCGTTGGTTTTTGTAGACAGAAAAAAAGATTGCTTTTTTTCCTTTTGCTTTCCTGTTTGTATGAGAAATCTACCACTATATAAGAAGCTTTCCAGAATTGAAATGTTAGTATCAAATAGTTACCGAAATCCAAATATTTAAGATACTAATATTCAAATAATACCGGAAAATTACAGGGTGGGTTTGTTTTGTGGGTTTTCTTAACCATGAGGTAGCACTAGAGATGTAGCACACTTAGAGGAGGGGGGAGGAGAGAAATCTTGTCAGCCAAGGTACCTTTTCCTCCTCTCCAGAGGCATTTCACATGCGCTTTAAAAAAAGATGACAAATCTCCCTCCTCTCTGCACATGTTCAACACCGTACGGTTGGAGAACAGCAGTAACCTGACAGAAGCGCGTTTCCCCTGCAGCTTTCTGTACAGCTCTTATTGTCTGTGTGTGTTGTGAAAGAAATGGAAGTGGTATGAAAAAGTCCCCCCTTTTTAAATGCACCAAATGCCGTGCTTTCTGTCATTTTTTATTTAACTTACAGTTAAGCGTTGGGAAGCTTGTGACCGCTGCAGAGCTTGATGGGCCTATGCAGAAATCTCTTGACAGCAGCGAATTAGGTTCCTCAGCGTGCATCAGGTTGTTAGGATTGTTTTTATGGCTAAAATCCTGGCTCTTCTAAAGTTTGACCTTTGCCTTGAAGTTGGTTTTAAACGCAGGCTTTCACCTGCGTAGAAATGAGCCATTTTTGAGGAGGGAGCTGGATGGTGGGTTGCTTCTCCTGCCTGGGGGCTGGTTGCCAGCTGGGATCCCACTTGGCAGAAGTTGGGGAAGAGAAGAGGTCGTCTGCCGGTGCCAAGTGCCCTCAGCTTCCCTGCTCCTGCCTGCCTTCCCCATCTCACAGAGCCAGCCCATACCTTCTGGACAGAAAACAGCCCCACCGTGTTCATACCGTGTTTATGTTGTATTTATACCGTGTTTGCTGCAGCACGCCTGGGGATGGGTAGCTCCAAATCCTGCTGCCCTCCCGTAGCTGATGTGCTGCGCTTCACCCTGTCCTGGTGAAGCAAATGGAAAGATCCTGGGAGATTTCAGGAGAGGCAAAGCAAGGGATTAACCTGTGTTTTAACCTGCTGCTCGGTCACGTATTCTGGGGGCAGGGTGGTTTGTTTTGCCCAAGTGTAGACCTGTGTGATGAGTGTTCAGCTCGGTTTTGGTTTGAAACGTGAGAAGGGAGGAGGGAAGAAGATTTATTTGGCTTTTTTTATGACTTGTGTTTTCAGTAACTTCACTGGGATTTTTGATATAATTCAGGCTTTCTCACTCCAGCTTTGCAAACTTCAAAGACAGAGGCTTACTCCGATGAATTTTCATCAGTTTCAGGAGATGATAAGGTGACAGGGCGCAACCAAGATCTTTCCAGCTTTTATCCACCTCCCCCAAGGGTAACTCCAGAAGAAACTCTGGCTACTAGGTCATTTACATTCAGAGACATGATTCCTAATGCTCCACAGAAAAAAACTTTTCTCTTGTTTTCCTAGCACAATAAAGTGCAAGAAAACGGTTTCATTAAAAATCTGCAAAAGACATATGTCATCCATTCAGCTGTCACCCTGGATCTCTGTTTCCCCTACTGTTGAATTGTTAAAGTAACTTTTCTTTTGTGTGTAACGTTTCCTTTCCTTGACTTCATTGTATGTGACTGCTAGTCGTTTTCTGGGTGTAGCAATGATTGATTTGTTGTTGCAGACAGAGCAAGTATCTGAGGTTGAATTACATCCTCAGATGAATAGACCCCCGTCGCAGGCAGAAGAAAACAGTTCAGCAAAAAAGGTGAGACCTGCACTTGCTGTACCATTGTGGAGTGATTTGCCTTCATCTAAAAATGCGGTTGCTTTAAGTTTTAAAGCAATTAAATGGAGGGTTAAGGTTACATTTTTACATGTTTACCTTCTCTGGAGGTCAAGACGCTAGAGAGAACCGGGATCACGTGTGACATCAGCTCAGATAAATCATTAAGAAAGCTCTTAGTACATGCACATTGATGCACGTGCTTTAAAAGAGGCAGCTTGCCATTTGTTTCAAATCAATAGGGGCTTGTGGAGCCTTAGGGAAGACAAAAAAGGGGTTGATTGTACTTGACCCCTGCCCCCCTGTAATTCTTTCAAATTATGACGTGCTTTTTGCTTCCAGTTATTGAGGATTCAGTTTTGATGTAACCACACCTGTTTGCTAGGGGTCAGAATCTGCAACTAAGTGTACGTAGGTTGGGAGAGTTTGCTCAAGATGTGCAGTTTCGAGTATGTTTTTGCGTGAACTTATCATTTGTATAAAGTAAGTACTGAAATTGCAATGGCAGTCTTCACAGGGCCTTGCTTAGGGATGGAGTGGCCTTAGCAATTGCTGTGAGGCTTTCCCCACTCCTAGTCAAGCTCCCACCACCTCCTTCCACCAGCCCCATCCAGAAGAGGTTTTTGATGGGGGACAAATGCAAGTCCTCCCTGCTCTGCCCTCTCCTGCAGCTGGGGAGCACCTACAAGACCTTTGCTCACCCAACCAAGAACTATTGTCAGGAGCTGTACCTAGTGCATATCTTGCCCAGGGAGCATCATCACACTTCTTACCCTAATGAAGGACACAGACAAATGTCCAGTGTAATTTGCTATATGCAATAGGGCTTTCAGGGCAACGTCCACTTGTGCTCACTGCATGCTGCTACTAGCCTAGCCCTTGCTTCTTCCTTCCTCTGCTTTGCAGCCCTGAAATCCATGTGGTCCACCTACTTCATGCTCGCCCTCATCCCACCTGACTCCCTAAAATACAGAGAAGCCCCAGGCTCCAGGGTGCAGGAAGCAGGTTGTTGGCACAGTGCTGACCCACCCTCCGAAACACCAACCAAAGTGCCCCTGCGGAGGGCTCTGCTTTTAGGTCTTGAATCATTTCTTCCAGTATTGCATTTGAAATGGAAGAGGGATTTATCCTAGGGGTTTGGTAGGTTTGGGGCAGTTCAGGGCAGACTGGGATTGTGCATTTGTCGTCCCAGCAGTTTATAGTTGCAGAAGGCATTGGCAAGGTCCTCACTTGCCGTACGTCATGTGTTTGCAGGGAGCTGCACATACACACAGGGGTTCAGAGCACAGTGTTATCTGAGATGTGTGCAGTGCTGATGTGCTGACGTCCTTATCAAAGCTTTCATAATATTTTTAGGTCTATTTTTTTTTCAGTAATGGCAAAAGCTCTGTTTTTAATGTTGAAACCCCTTGTTCCCTTATAATTCTAATTCCTCTACCAATTGTAATCCCTCTAATACTAATTATTGATGGTCTTATGTCGGTTTCATTCTGTATCACCGTTAGTTGTCTCTTCTGCTGAGTCGGACTGCTTACTACCACATTTTTTGTTATATTTTCTTATGATTGCTGGGTCATTAAATACTGCCTCTTTTTTTTTTTTTTCATGTTTTATTAACACTTGGCCAAAACAGAGTAAGGAAGATAGTCTGGCCCAGTAAAATGCACACTGTGGAAGCGATAACAAAATCTGGTCCCTGGTCTTGACTGTGACACTAAATGTATCGCTTTTGTCAAGTTGCTTCATCTTTTTGAGTCTTAGCTTTCTCATTCATTAAATAGAGCAGTAATAGTTATCTCTCTTCTAAAAGATCTAATAATAAAATACACTGAAAAGGATATAGTTCAGATTTTAAACAGCTTTAAGTCATTAAAACTGCTTCTCATTGCAGAAGAAAGGATGTCTTATTTTAAAATAATGAAAACGCTTACCATTAAAGGCATAAAAATCCAAGACTTTTTGTTTTACCTTATCTCTCTGATGTAACTTATTAAGAGGAGTAACTATCCTTCTATGTTTCCAACATTTTATTTTTGCATGGATAATTTTATATACATGTGCCTTTCTAAACTATTTTCAGTCTTAATTTTGCATGGATAATTTTATACATGTGCCTTTCTAAACTATTTTCAGTGTTGCTTCATGTAAGAGAGGAGGGGAGGAGAAGGGAGAGACTCAATGCCAGATGGGGTGAGGTAGTAAGTTGGGATGCAAGTGATTGATTATTGATTTTTACCAACTGAGCATAATGAAAAATAAATCTTGTTTTGGTTGTAATGCTTTTGGGTCAACTGGGGGCCGGTGTTTGTATTTATACTCCCCCCTTCACCCTCCCTGCAAAGGTGCATGGAGCTGTACATTCCAGTTCCGAAGAGCATGTCATCCAGATGAAGACAAAACACCAGTATAATCATTTCATTCATTAAGGGGTTGCGGGAGTTATTGTTCCTTTTTTCGAAGTCAGAAACCTGAGAGGCTATTACCAAATTTGAATTAGGCTCTGTACCTCTTTTAAATTATGAAATCTTAGGCCAGCTGTCAGCAATTTCTATGTCACAAGTATTCCCCAGCGTAATGGCAGGAGACACATGGCCTGACTTAACGTTGCTGTGCTTCTCCCTTGCAGGAGGTTGTTCTTGCTCAGCCACCCTCCAAACCTGCCCGCAGGAAGCTCCGGACGGAGACGCAGGGGCTGGAGACCCCCGAGCTTTCTCCCACCATAAATGTGACTTCTTCCCTGCCAGCAGTCAAGCCTCACCTCCCAGTCCAAAAGTAAAAATCCGTACCAAGCGTGCCAAACTGTGAGATCTGATGTGGCAGGGTTTGCCTTTTGTGTAATTTTGTGCTTAATAGTTCTGGGTTTGGGAATGCTCCACAAGATGCAGGTCTCTGAAATCTACATCTGTCTTCTCAAATGCAGACTAAGTTTGTAGTGACTGTATAAGCTGATGATACTTGATGGATAGCCTCTTCAAAGGTGTCCTACCTCTGTAGCTGGTAGACACGTCTGAAGAGCAAGCCTCGCTGTTCAACCAGCATCTCTAACGCAACTCCTTTTACCTCTGTGGGTGTGTGGTTTTGCCTTACATGTATCTTCTGGAATTTTGCTCATTCTTGTGGACAGATGTGACTAAATAAGTGCCCAGGAAGTTGAGTCACGAAGTACTTGATGTTGGTCATATTCTTATGATGTTTCTTCATGGCAAGGCAGGTTAGAAGTGAGCTCGCCACTGGTATGAGCCACTTGTAGACCACTTGTGATAATCCGATAATTGCCAAAACCCAGCATATGTTGTTTACTGCCATAAATATAGCTGTTGAAGCTGTCAGCAGCGAAGACTTGTAGGGATTTCACCCTGTATTTATTTAATAGCCGTGGAGAAGGGGCTGTGCAAATGGTAAGCAAAGGCACTTGAAGCCCTATAGAGTCTATACATCTCCCTCCACTGAAACAGTGTGCAAACGTTATAGCCTGCCTTCACCCAAAGCCTTGCAAAGACATCTGGTTTTGTCTGAAAGAAAACCGAGCTGCCCAAATCAGTTGAGTGCTTCTTGGCAAACTGTTTATCAGTAGACTGAATCTGTGCTGCATAGTTGGAGATTAGAATAAGTAATAAGGCTCCTAGGATGCCCTTAAAGTGCTATTTTGTGCTTTGGGAGTGCATATTCCATAGTGGTTCAAAGAAAGATAACAGCATTTGTTAGCATCTTGACTTAATCCTGTCATGTCTCTATCTTTCCTAAAATGTTTAAATGACCATGGAGGTATAGCTCCCTGTTTTTTATTTTTTCTTACCATTATTACTTTATAGCCTATGGAGAGTAGTTTGAAGCAAAATCATGAAGCAGAAAACTGTCAGTTCACTGGAAGATAACAGCATAAAGACCTGCCTGTGCTGTGAAACAGATTTTTTTGCAAAGATCAGTGCCATCAGCTTTTTTAAGAGGAAGAGCTGATGGGGACTGTGTACCCCTATAGACCTTATTTAAATAGAGCATCTTTTTTAGATCAAATTTGTCATTAAAAAACTCTTGATGCCTCATGCAAAACTTTAAAATAATCTATTTGGAAAAAGGCTTGGATATTCAGCCAGTATTTTCTGTATTTTCCTTCCTTTTTCCTGTTCCCCTCTTTCTTGGAGTAGGTTGGTCCTTATGTAGAGAGCTGTGTCCTTTTGTACCTGTCTACCTAACTGTAGTTTCTTTCAGATCAGTTACCATGGGCTATAGGGTAATAATAATAATAGGAGCAAAAAAAGTTAAGCAGCAAAAGAGATGAGGAAAGTCCATAAGCCATCTTCTTGTGCGACGTCAGATGGTTTTGGTGGAAATTACTGCTTTGAATGAAAAAAAGATTAATTTTTGAAGTAAAGAAACAACGGAATCAGCAGTGCCCTAAAAAATCTGAGACAGTATTTTCACGCAGATGTCCTTTCTTTCCACATAGAATGATTTTTGTATTTTCTCTCACCCATTCCTGAATCTTTAAACTCTACAAGTGTTTGAAAAACGCTAAGGCAAAGATGCTGCAATAATTACAGCTATGAAGGATTATTCTTAAGCTGAATCAGAATGCAGTGATTTTTAAGCAATTGAGGTGGCCTAAAATATTTCTGGCATTCAGGTTAACAAGTGTGACTGTTTTATTTTCAAATAGTCTACCTGATTCAGCCGTCTCATTTCAGTGCTACATTTTTCTTCTCTTAAATGCGCAGTTTGTACCTTGTCTGTGAAGTGTAGTCCAGTGTGTATAGAGTACAGACACGCAAAATGGATGGCTGGTCTTCTAGCACCAGCCACTGTTGAAGCTCTTAATTGAAATGTTTTGTATTTATCTGTCTGGCAGACAGTCTTCCAAGCAGAAAAGGGCTATTCAGACTGCTATACGAAAAAACAAAGAAGCCAATGCTGTGCTCGCCAGGTTGAACAGTGAGCTCCAGCAGCAGCTGAAGGTAAGGAATGCATTGAAAATCAGTGACAAAGCTCCCTGCAATCAGTTATGTGTCACCTCCAGCAGAGAACTTTGTTCATCCTCTCAGATGAAACCTACTGTTATTTCCTGCTTTCTGGAAGGGAGTAACTATACTGTATGAGTGGGTAGGATGGGGCTTTCTGGGAAAAGCTATTACCCACGTGCATGCAGCTCTGCTGGCAGTTGGAGTAAGTCTAAAGGGTGAACTTCACCTTTCTGAAAAGTTTAATAAAGTGATGATGTCACCTAGTGCAGAAAAGCAACTCACTCATAACTTCCTTGTCTTCTGGTCAGACGTAACTGTCTCCTGGAGTCAGGCATTTGGTACACATGGACAGGCTAAACCATGCTTTATGTGAACACCTAACACTGATTTGTAATCTCTGCTGACTTGTCTTTTAACATTTTCTCAAGGGGCTGTTTTCTTATAAATGTCAGTTCTGGTTTTTCTGTTTTCTCAGTCCAAAGGTATTATACAGATTTTAGTTTTTCAGCTGTTACAGCTTTTTCCTCCTTTTATATTATGAACACACTTGTCTGGAAAGGGAGGTGAATCCTCAGTTAAACTTTCTCTTCAGTCAAGGTGAAAGTTTGCATGTTCAACTTTGCTTTAACATATTTTTTAACTGGTTGGATGCTCTATACTGAAATCACAGCAAAATATAGGATGGTGATTGAAATAAGCGTGGGGGTGAAAGCTTTTAATGACAGCACATTGCCATCATTCCTTGGCTCAGGTTTTATCTGCTTCCATGCACTATCTTCAGCTTGCTTAAACTCCCCGACCTGCAGGAAAGAGGCCAGTGCTGTTATCTGTGTTGTACTGCAGGGTGAAGGCAACACGTAAAGACAGAGATTTGCCTGAGTTCCCACAAGAGCAGAAAACTGAACTTGTCCTTCAAGTTGTATTGCTGCCTGGAAGCTTTCTGGTGGAGCAGGGCATTTATGTTTTTATGGGGACCCAAAGACATCATGGGTATCCCTCAGGCACAGCTTCCACTGAGGTGTGGGGAGTGTTCAGATGTGCTCCTGAGCTGGGGCTGCCCAAATTTGCTACCAAAGCCTGGAGGAGTCACAGGTCAGCCTGGCTCCCAGACAGGCCAGGAGGCCTTTGACGGGAAGTCAGCAAGAGCTGGGTGCCCCTCAGGGGCAGCCTTGAGACCAGGAGAGGCTTTCCCAAAATAGCTGATCCCCAAAGCCTTCACAGTTAGTTTCTGACCCAGACTGATGAGCTTCTGGCCATATTTGCCGAAAAGGTAGATTGCAAAGTCTGTGTTGTCTTAGAAAGTCTAAGTCTCATTCATTTCTAATAGGAAAGAGATTGTTTGCATGAACCAAAAACTTCTTTTAAAAAAAAATGCAGCTTAGAGGGAACTGTGATTTCAAAGTAACCTCATTTTCTTTGGTAAAATTGCCAAACTGGCCCAAGATATTGCACTGGCCAGTGGATGAGTGACTGCTCCTCTCCATGATCACCCAAGCAAATGACTGAGCCTCCGTATTGCCCCACCATCAGGAGGAGGCTGCAGACGGACATGCAGGGTCGTTGCATGGCATTGGTACAGTGTTTTGAGGCTGCAAGGAGAGTTTCTTAACCGGCAGAGCTTCCAGTCAATGCCAGCAGGTTGCCTGGCTGATCTCTACTGGGAGCTGGGTGGTGCGTGCGAGCATCCCAAAAGTTAACAGCCCATCTCTCTGCCTCCTGCAGGAGGTTCACAAGGAGCGCATTGCCTTGGAAACGCAGCTGGAGCAGCTACGTCCCGTCACCGTCTTGTGACCTCCCTGCAGAGCCAGTGTCCCGACAGCCTCACCGAGGAGAGGAGGGCAGCGTGGCTGGGCAGGGGGTCTGCTGAGGGTGGTGGCAGTGGGGTGGACCACCTTGTCGGGTCTCCCTTCACCCTGCTGCACGCCTTTGCCTTGGCAGGTAAAGCAGGTACAGAAAACAGATATCTGACTGCAGAGGGATGCTTCGCCTTCTGTCCTCCCTCTTCCCAGCCCAACGTGTAAATGCAGTTTATCGCTGGAATGAATAACCTGAGAGTATTTTATTTATATAAAGAATTCCTGATTTATATGCCTTCTGGCAGCACCTCCTGCCCCGGTCATTAAGAGGTACAGCATTCCTGAATTCTTGCTTAAATTTAAAACTCATACTCTGAGATGGGCTTCTGGCTGTTACTGATTCCTGTAGGGTTGTACCATGGTAGAGTACCTGGGGGTTTAACGTGCTACAAGAATAAAACTCACTAGACATACAGAGTCTTTATCCGCAATCACGTCAGATAATTATTTTCTTAGCACTGTTTATTATGCAATCACGGATGTATTTTAATGTTAGAGAGCTTGTATTTTGTAAGTTCAAATCGTGTGAGAGAACAGTAAAAAATACTAAAATTTAATTATTTTGGAAGTTACAAAAAAATATGGTTTTTGAGCTGTAACTGCTTCCTATCACCAGTGTTTGATCACTTGCTTGCAATTGCCGGTATCTCTGCATACTTGTAGCATGTTTGAGATCACTGGTTTATAGCTTTTTTTTTTCTTCTTCTTTTTTTTCTTTTTTATTTTTAACCAACAGTGTATTTCTAACAAGAGGTTAAAAACGCCTTTGGGGCATTTTTATAAAATCTGTTCTATGTACATTTGTATTAGCCTGCTTTGTTTTCTTAATAGCTGTTGATTTGTTTCAAGGTTGTGTACAAGAATTGTATTTCCAGAAGAAGAAAGACAGCAAAAGTGCTATATATGAGGTTATAAAAATGTGTGATGGAAATAATTGCTTTCTACATCAGGCTTTCTTTAAGGTTCCTTCACACCTCACTGGAGATGCTACTGATAGGATGAAGCTGCTAATACCCATCTGCTTTCTAAATGAAGAAACAAAGATTAATTTTTTTACCAGGGTGTGATCTAGGGCCAACTGAATTCAGAGGGAATTTCCCCGTGGATGCGGTGGTCCTTGGTTCCAGTCTGCGTTCTCACAAGGGAAGCTGGCAAACTAATGTTGCTTTATTTCTTGGGGGACTCCAGGCGTAGCGGCGTCAGCCCTGCTCCCTCCATGGACATGATGTGTGCTTTTGCTGCAAGGGAATGTCTCCTCCCTGTTATCCATCTTAAACGTGACGCTGCATGTGTTTCATGCCCTGTTGTTCGCTGACCTAATTTAAGCGTACGCATTTGCTTTGCGGAAACGATGCGGCAGTTTTTTACCGTTGTTGGTGTGGTGCTTTCTCCCTGTAGCTATAGGGTGGCCCCAGGGCTGAGAGGAAGGAGAAGAAGGGTTTGAAGCAGCTGGGTAGCCTTCCTTCAGGGTCTGTCGTGGAGTAGCTGCAGTGGGGTATCAGTGGGACACTGGAGAAGCCAAAAAAAGCTTTTTGAGAGATAAGGCAGACATCAACGGGAATGTTTGGAGTGATGAGGAAACGGCCTGCTTTTGCTGAAGGGGATGTGGATGTGGGACATGGATCCAGAAGCCTGAACATGAAAGCAAGCATTTGCAGAATCGTTACTGAAAGTCTGCTTTGGTGACACATTGGTTTCGATTCAACTAAACACCACTATGTCAACAAGCATCAACCATTTCTCTGCATTTGGGACTTCTTTTGTGCGACTGTTCATAGCTGGGGTCAGAGGGTCACTCCTGGTCAGTGACAAAATGCGAGAACTGCAAACTTTTCTGGGAAGCTGCAAAGCAGCTACTGCCCTCTTGCTAGTGGCGGTGCTGTTTAGAAGTTACCGTTGTTTATTTCATAATACTGAGTCATTCCTGAGATTAAGTACTTTTTCTTTCTTTGCTTTTTAGTTCTTGCATTGTCATTTGGTTAATAAACCCCTACAGGTTAATAGAAAATAATTATGTGGCACCTTTGTTTTTTATCTTTGTGGGTTACTTTTAAGGAAAGCTTTTTAATGATTACAAAAACATGTGCACATTGCATTTTTAAGGCAGTGGATGGCTTTCTCATGTTTGATAGGAGCTTCTTCTACAGTAATCCCCCATTTATTTAACTTGGTTTATTCATGGAATAGGTGTTGCTCAGAGGAAGAGTGGAAGTCTGGTTTATATGTCTTTTTCAGATGTCTTCCTTCTAACGTACAGAGTTTTTTTTCATTCACTGGAAATTAGGATACTTGGTTAGTTGACAACGAGATATTTACTCAGTTGTTAACCTAGCACAGGACTAATAAATTTAAAATTTAACCATCCTTGCATTTTTAGGGATGCAATCATATGCCCCACTCAGCATCAAGATGTAGAGTGTGACTTGATTTGTATTCGGTTTGATGAAATTTTGGCTGTGATACACTACTTCATAAGAGAGTAAAGTGAAATATTCAAGGAGAAATGTTGGCGTGTTTTACATACGATGCAGGAAGTTATTCTTCTGAATGGCTCAGTACTTAAGCATTCATGATAGCCCATGCAAAATGAAGACGTGTCTCTGGTTTTGGGGGATTGCTAGCATTTTGAGAGGGAGAGGAGAAGGCATCATGAAGCTGTAAGACAGTGCTTCGGCATTTGCTCCATGCAGCTACACTCAAGGCTACTATTAACAGGTCTTGGCTGGTCAAATTTCACATCTAAGTCCAGTATCACAGATTTTCTCAAAAAATATTTTTCCTTTAGAAAAATGTGGGTACAGCAAAAGCATCATTTCTTGCAGAAACCTTTACTATTCTGAACCTTTGGATGGTGGATGCCCCTAGACTCAAGAGAGGCCATCTAGTGAGAAAGGGAGACCTCACAAGCAGTTTGCTCAATGTTCAGGGCACTTTCTTGAGCTACAGGAGAGCAGTCAGCTTTAAACCCCTGATGTGCCTGACCCAGAATAGTAGCCAGGATCTGCCTGTCCCAGCTTACAGCCTGACCAAGGAGCAAGAGCAGCTTCCCACGCGTGAGGTCTCACTCTCCTCAGTTCATGGTTTCTGTAGGTAGTCAAGCAGAGCAGAACGTGCCCACCAAGAGAGGATAACTGGGAACAGGAGCTGGAGCACGGCTTCCTTGCATCAGAGGGGATGTGCAGACCATGTGCCCCCTTTTAAGTCTTCAATTTCCTGTAGCTATTCCAGTTTGGACAATTAAGTATTTTTGTCCAAGGACAAGACTAGGTAGAGCAGGCTCTTAAACAGGCTCGTCCACATCTCAGCTAAGGATCTTCCTCGGTGGAGGCATGTGTGTGTGTGTGTGTAAACGTGCACTCGTGTCTTCCTTCAGATTGTGCATTTCTTTATGGATCTGTTCATGTTTCAGACGATACCTTCCTATGAAATATTTGTTTCAATACATGGTAATTGAGTGGTGAAAAAGCAAAAATGCCCAGCTAAATGTAGTGACTGGTTGCCTTTGTAGATCAAGCCATTTTTATTTGAGCCTTTAAATATAAATAATGACCTAGTAATTAAGCAAGGCGAACAGTTTCCACTTCGGAGGCATTTCTTGTAACAAACTGCCTGTGAACAAACATCAATCCTTAATGATCAATGCCCTTCTCCTAGTTACTAGATTTATACTAGGATGCTGTGGAAACATTACCACCTCTTTCCAGATAGTTCTCAGTTCTCTCTTCCAGAGAGTTTTGCTGACAGAGCAAAAATATTAGCGATTAGTGGATTTGGCCCTGTTACTCGTAAGTTGGTGAATATTCTTTTTAGCTCAAAAGATTACCTCCAGAATGTTTTTACTTGCATGGTGGTAGTTTTGCTGCTGGGAAATCTGCATCCACACTGAAAAGACCCCAAAGAGATGGTTGGGACTGGGAACCCTTCACAGGAAGCATTTAGGATTGGGCATGATATGAAAATTGCCTTTTGGTGGTGTGTAAACTGCTTTCCTCCCAGCTGAGCTTCCAGATTAGGAGAAAGAGAGCCTATAAAAGTTGCTAGTGAGGGAACGAGGGCTGTCCGTTTCCCAGCACCATCAACCCTTCAGCACACACAGTCCTTGACAAGAAAATGCACAGGGTTATAAAAGAAGGAAAAGAGGCTCTCATGAAGCCACACAATTTGTTGACTAAAGAGTGAAAGTATTTTTTCAAGGAGAAAAACACCCAAACAAGTGATATAGTACTTTTGAGAAGATAAGATGTATTTTGAAGCTTTTTTCAGTTATCTTCATGATAATGTGCTATGAACGTATGCGTTATGTTTTACTCTATTACTGATTTTTTGATATAGAAAAAATCATATTGCAAGCATTATCGTTGTTAATCTAAAAAAAAAATACCCTGAGGCTATTATATATTTGAATTTTAACTTATAAAGTAGATAGCCAGATTTAAGCAATTTGTTTTCACAGCTGCAGACTGTCCACGTGGTGAGCTGCAAAATGTATAGTGTTCTATACTATGCCCATCTAATTTTGGAAAATGTATGTGATATGAAGCTGGGTGCTACATTAAAATAAAAGCGTCCAATAACTTCAAATTGCCTTGCTTTTGTGGTTTATTTAGGATGTCGACTGTGCAGATCTGCCAGGAGAGCAGAAACTGTGAGTCGCTGTGGAAAAAATACAGTGTTGAAATGGCTGACCTTCAACTATGAAAGATGAAATCACTTAACGTTGGGATTGTGTCTATGTGAGAGAGACAGAGAGAGACTTAAAGTGAAATCATATTTCCTTAGGCTTCAATGAAGTCAGAACTTCATCTTTACCTTGTCAGGCCTCGCTTTGTCTGTATTCAGCCTTCTCACCATGATGGAGCCCGATGAGGCTCATCCTTTTCTAACTGGGGCAGCGCCACCATGAATGAAAAGCCCTTCCAAGCTTCTAGCAGACCCTTGGTCTGAGGGTGCCCGGGCAGGAGGACTCGAACTGTAATCCCCAGCACACCCCATCATCAGTGTTTTTGGCTGCTTATCAACTGCAAGAGCTGAAATTAAATGGGGAAAAGAAAAACATTTGAATATCTGGCCTTTGTGGGCAGGGAGCTGGAGGGGACGGTGTACATCTGCACTTTAACTAGTGTGATTTTGAAGAATTATGTCACAGCTATCCAAAGAGCAGGGCTTTAAAAGAGGAAATAATTAGTGATAAATTAATTCTTACGGCATTAAGCCATGACAAGGGATGTTTTATTGGCCTCAAAGTATGTCTCTGGTGCACGTGAGGCACAAGGCCAAGGCGTTAAAAACTTGTAAATATCCTGTAGGGAGCTATTCTGCATTGGCAGCGGGATGGATTTAGATGGTTCTTCCATTCTTAGTTTTTACAATTAGATGGTACTCTGGGGTGCCTTCGTGCAATTCTAGATTGGCTCTCTGTATTCAAATTCATGTTTCCAGTAATCTTCCTTAAAAAATAAAAGATGTGTCTTTCTGCTCTGGAAGAGTAGTTCCTAGTGGAAGCGGGAAAGAAAAGAAACAGAAGAAGCTTCAAAAGTCCTTTTTTATCCATCTGCTGTTTTTAAGGTAGTGCTGCCTCCCAAGCGTGCCTGCTTAGATGGGATGCTCACGTGGCTTCTGCTGCAAAGCACAATAAAGGAAAATTACAAATGAACAAAATCCCTAGGTTTCCATAGCCAGTAGCTGGGACCGAGCTCTTTCACCTGGTGGTCTCATCGCTCCTCCTGTTCTGTCTCCCCCACGAACCCCCCCTGGCCACTGCATGCCCTCAAACAAATGTGCTTTGGAGCAAGAGACTATGGGTAGATGAGGTCAGTTTGCAGCAGAGTTCCAAGTCCCCAGTGTTGCCTCAGTGTCCACTGTTTTGGGCACATCTGGAAGCAGCAGCATTAGCTTTGTCCCAGCTGTGTTATCCCAGTAGTCCCCCTGCTAGATACTGAGTATTCCTGGTTAAATCCTGAATTGGTTTACATTTATTGATTGTTAACTTAAATAGCATGAGCTAGGAAGAATGTCTTATCTGGGGACATTTTGAGGATGCTTTATGCATGAGAAATGTGATGAGCTAGACAACACCAAGGCTATATATTGCATCTAGTCTGGTTTTTGCAGGAGGGAAGAAGGGAGGAAGAGGGGGATTCTTCCCTTAGCTGGGCTGCTCCCAGAAGAAATGTTATTTTTTTTACTTCCCATCCTTGGTTCATATAGGGAACTTCCTCATCACTGTGCTGTGATCTTCAATGAAACATGGACAGAACAGCTGGCAGACGCACAGGTAAGGTCTCTCTGCCACAGGCCCTCCACCGGGACCTCCTCACCCTGCAGAGGTGGGCAGTGGTGGGTCAGCAATGGCAGCCCCAAGACAGCAAATGACATGCAGAGCCCAACAAGGAGAAACATGAAGAAGGAAGCAGTATGTCAGCTCTGGTGGGACCAGGTCAGAGAGGAAAAAATTACTCTGAAAAAGGGGAAGTAACCATGCTTCTGAGGTACCAGGGAACTCACTGCACCTCCAACATCTTGCTCTACCCCCACACAACAGGATAATGTTCTTAGAAAAGCTCTGCTGGATACCTCGCTATCCGGAGGCTTGGGTGTAGGACTGCCACTTGATACGTGAGCTGTTCCCCTTTGAGGTCACTTAAGGAATTCAGCAGTTCATGCTGTCTGTCACAGGTTTAGGGTGCCTTAAGCCAGTGTTCGGCAGGCCAATACAAAGTGTGCATTGTTTACTACGGATTTCATGCTCTTATCTGAGAGGGAAAAGCCAGCACGTGATCTCACCTGCTTCTTGTTTCCCAGCCCCGTGCTGTTCCTAAAGGACACCGTATACTCAGTGAGAAATAATGGCTTCCTGTGTCATTAATGAGTTCTTACAGCAATTTCCCTTCAGAGTAATCACCTTGGGTGATGGAGGTGTGCACTTCCAAAAGCAATTAGCCCTGGGGGTGAGCTGTGCTGGGAGGAACCGTTCTCCGCCAACAGAAAAGCAACTCCCTTTTGGGTGTCTCAGCTTGGATGCTAAAGAAACCAGCGCTGCCAGAGTCATCATCAGTCACTTGAAGCTAACAGCCAAAATGCCTCCCGGGATTAAAGGAGCCCTCCTTGGGAAGAAGTTTGTTTCCAGTGCTTAGTTCCATACCACATGGAAAAAAAGAAAAAAAGAAAAAAAACCCAAGCTGTTGCTTTGATTGCTCTGCAAATATCTGGGTGATTCTGTTACTCAGAAGGTGCCTCTTCAGGGCTGCGCTTTCTGAATTTGTTACTGGAAAAATCCTCAGTCGAGAATGTCCATCCAGGCATCCCAAGACTTTTTAAGGCACCCTGATTTGGAACTGACCTTCATGTTTCACCCCAACCTATTTACTCCAATCACCCACATTAATGCAAATAGTAACGTATATTTTTAAGCCTGTGTTTGTTCTTACAGCCTTTCAAACTTCTATTGTAGGTACATCATGCTCCAGCTAGAGCTGGCCATTAAGTGCACATGGACCTATGTCAAAGCGAGAGTAAACAAGTGATGGGTGATGGTGTCAGATGTGGCAGGCAGAAGGGCTGGCCCTGGATCACAGGGGTGAGGCAGAAGCAGGCCAGCAGTGTCTTCCTCATGCTCTGAGTTTTACCACTGTGGGTAAACTCTAATTTGAGGAAGAAAAATGCAGTTTGATTTCCTCCACCTTAGTTATGAAGCTAACTTAGCTTAATGCATATTTTTATGGCTTGGACCCTCAGCCATACTTTTTTACTCTTCCCTCTTGTTGCATTCGATGTCTTTTTTACTAGATTTGACCTACACCCTGCAATTGCTTGGTTTTGCACAAACTGGAAAGACTGAGCAGAGTGCAGGTGCTTACTGGACAATCCTGCTTTCAGCCCATAGCCTGGGGGACTCAGCCTGCTCTCGTTCTCATGTACTAATGGTTGGTTGGGTTTATGACTTTGGTTTGGTTGATTCTGGAGGTCGCTTTGGCTGTGGGTGACAAATCACAGGGGCCTCTTCATGACATATCAGCTGGGTGGAGATAGTCTCGTTGTGGACTTGCAGCTTTGCAAACTGGATATCAAAGCAGCCTATGGAAACCTGTACTCAGCTCAGACTCTGAGCACAGAAACCCAAGGGTCCTTGACAGAGTTTGGGAAAAGTTACAGAAATAATATTTGAGACTAATAGCAATTCTAATGCAGAACACGTGGACCGGGTTGCACCGGGTTGCTCCCAACCCATCCAGAATGTCACTCTGACATTGGGCAGTACCAAAAAGTGTTGGAGGAAAGGGGAAGAAGCCCAGAGCTGTCAAAAATGGTTCAGTGAAAAGACTTTGGATGACCACTGCCTTGGCTGACATGCTGATGTTTCTTCTGGCATCTCTGGAACCCGCAGCAAGAACTGCTGCAGTCTGCTCGAGGCCAACATCTGCTTCACTTTTGACCACAGCAATTTCTCTCTTCTATAAATCAAGGCAGAGGAATACCTGTAATACACACTCAGTAGTATAACCTCTATACAAACGTATTTACAGAAGTTTCTGCTTTACTTTTCCATTGGCCATTCATTATTTGATATGGTTACGGTTTTTTTATCATTTCCTGTGTTATTTTTCTCCAGTATAGACAGAGGAATTCCCATCTGTTCAGCCTGTCTTTTTCCAGACATTTCTTTGTCTCTAGTTGGTTTTGCTGCCTCTCTCTGGGACTCTTCTACTTCCATTTATTGTTTTTTTCAAATAGAGTAGCCAAAACTGAAGCCAGTTCATTGTCACCTCATTTCTAAAGCAGTGACTCTGTAAAATAGGGCATCATGACACACAAGAGTTTATACTCCTTTTTTTTTTTTTTCCTTTTTTTGTTTCCCCCCCTATCTGGCAGCTGTGCAAGCCTCAGCTGGCATCCTGGAAAGCTGGGATCATCCTACTGGATTGAGAATTTGTAAATAACACTGTACAAGTCAGTAAAAGAAGGCGTGAATCTCGCAATGTCTCTCACTCTCTTTTCTCGATGCTTGCATTGAACCTGAAGCATCATTTTAAAATAATGACTTTTTTTTTAAAACCACCAGCAGTGCATGTGAGCCACTCTGCCCTGTAGCAAGTACGATCTCTAACTGTGCATTTGTCAGAGAACTGCATGGAAAAGTTTCTCCATGAGCTGGAGAGGAAACCTCAGGCCTTAGCTCAATGAGAGCCTGTATCTCCCCAAAAAACTGCTAAAAAAGGTGTCTCTTCAGGCAGATAAAAATTGTCCTCTGACCTCATGCGCTTTGATTTCCACTCCCTCTGATAACAGCATCACTGCATGCATCTCCTGAGAATGCAAATCCCGAACTCAGGAGTTGCTCTGCAGCTTATGTTACTGGTAACTCTGAGCCTGGGCTTGGGAAGCTCCCAGGGAGAAGGACAATTTTGCAACCTGAGGTGTCTCATTAGCAGTCTAATCTATTTATTCTCAAGAAAAAGAAGCAGGATCAAAGACAGGATAGGAATGAGATATCAAAATTAGTTCTAATAAAATTAACAAATATCTCAATTTTTATTTTCCTTCAATAGGTGTATTTATTGCTCCTCTTTGAGCTTTGCAAAGCC